ACACACACACACACACACACACACACACACACACACACACACACACAGCAAAAGAGCCATAAGGAGCCCTAGCCCTCTTTAAAGCCAAGCAGAAGAAAGGGTTCCAAAGCAATGAAGCTGGACCTCTTCCCCTCCCTTCCAAACTGCATGAGAGTAATTAAAATACAGAAGGTAACAGTGTGAACATCTCAGTTGTTCTGTTGCTATGGACAAAACACCATGACCAACAAAACTTACAGAATCATGCCCACAGTGAGTTGGGCCCTCCATCAATCAGCAATCAAGAAAATGCCCCCACAGACTTCCCAATAGGCTAATCTGATGGAGGCGATGCCTCATTTGGTTACCTCTTCCCAACAGTCCTCGGGACACCAGGACAGCAGCTTCTAGGACTTTCCCAAGGCAGCTGGGTACGGAGTGCCAGTGTCCTGAGTTAGTATGCTACAGACACCAAGGTCTCTCCAGTCTGAGTGACGGCCACTAACCAAGATCAACCCTAAGGTAATTCTAGAGAAAATGGAGGGTACATGGGGTAGGAAGGGGTAGGCGTACATGAAAAACGGTTGACCTAGTTAACCCAGCTAGCATTTCTGCTTGAGCTGAGCAAATCTGTGACATGCTACTACAATGCAAATCAGGCTTTCCAGTCAGGAGCTACCTGGGCCAGTACTTGAGTCGGGGGTGGTGTCTTTTTTCTTTTAAAGACCTCCAGGGTTTAACGACTGTGAAAATCATGCGGCTGTCATGTGGCCAACACATGGATTATGGTGCAGAACAGACCATGTGTTAGGGCACAAAACGAGGCCAGCAAATGTAGAAACAAAACACGGCAATCAGGCACACGGAATGTTCAGATCCCAAAACAGGTGGAATTACCTATTGCCTTCCTCTATGACTAACATGCCAAAGAGAGAAACAGAACTCAGAGCTAGGAGAGTCAGCTCCGCCGTTAAGAGTACTAAGAGGACATGTTGCTCTCACAGAGTTCAGGTCCCAGCACCTACATGAAGGAGTTCACTACAGCTCAAACTACAGCTCCCGAGGGTCAGATCTCTTCTGGCCTCCTTGTTTGGACAGCATACATGCAACAAAACATACAACCTGCATACATGCACACAAAAACACAAACACACATTACTAAAAATAAGAAATCCAAGTTATTTGAAAGCTACATAGCCTATGAAAACCCTTAAAGCTACTGGGCCGTACTCACACCTTTACTCCCTTCAGGAGACAGAAGCTGGCAGAATTCAAGCCACGCCTGGTCTACAGCGTTCCAGCACAGCCAGGGATACACAGAAATCCTGCCTGATAAAAAACAAAAAAACGCCACAATCCTTAAACCTAAAACTGAAAATTTCAAAGCAATGTTACTGTAGTGAAAATGTGTTTTATGGAAACAATGCATGCATATGGGCAAAGAAAATCACGACAGTTGATTGACATGCAGCTGAGTGCTCATCAGGAAAGGGCAAACCCACAGGAAAGCAAGGCCTGCCTTAGTATTTTTGTAGGTATGTGTATTTGCATCTGAAATGTTCATCAGAGCTTATGTGCTGGAGGCTTGGCTCCTAGTTTGTAGTGCCGGAGGCAGAGGCAGCAAGCCTCAGAAAGAAGATCACTGGGTCTCCTCACACTACACCAGAACTAGATCTTGCCCTAACTGCTTCCTTTTCTCTGCTTCCTGTCCACTGTCCACCATGAATAGCCTCTTTCCCTAAATCCTTCTAGCTAGAAGTCCCTGCCTGACCATAGACCCACCATCAAAAGATTCAAAGAATTATGGCTTAAAATCTGCAGCCACGGGGCAAAAGAAAATCCTTCCTCCCCTCAAAGTTCTACTAGGCATTTAAGACAAGATGAAGTATCCTCACCTATTTTACAGACACTGGACTAGAGTTCTAGTCAAACCCCATATAGGCAGTAGTCTGGACTTGAACACACTTGATCTGATTCTTAACCATTTAATGATTTATGGGCCCCCAACAACCTTAGGCAGAACTTGGGACTGAGGGCCAGGGCTTTGTGGATGTTAGGATGGGCTCCTTACCCAAGTGCACTTTAGACAAACTCCAGATTACATTTTCAGATTTATAAGAACTTTTTAAAAAATTTTCATATAAATAAGATCCTGGGGGAAAAACCCAAATGTTTCATGGATTTTACAGTAAATATAACCAGTGATTAAATAGAAAAAAAAAATATTTGATTTGTGAATGATAAACAATTGATGGTACCGGTTGTGCATTTTACTTTCTGCTCAGCAAGTTTTACAAATTCAGAGTAATACATTCATTTTTTATTTTAAGCTCAATTATAAAACAATATGCACTATTTTACATGTCAAAACATACAAACACTGTTATAACATCTTCAAACTTGTGACAGGCTGGTGCCAAATGCAACTGAGAAGGAGGGAGGAGGCCCAGTGGTGTGGTGGTGCATGCTTTTAATCCCACCACTTGGGAAGCAGAAGCAGGAAGATCTCTGTGAGTTCGAAGCTAGCCTGGTCTACAAAGTGAGTTGCAAGACAGCCAGGGCTATAAAAAAATACCCTGACTTGATAAACCCCCCAAAATGGGAGAAAGGGTTGCCATCAGGGAGAAAAAAATTATAATGCTACAGACAGAGCTGATGGACACTACTGTTCACCCACATTAAAGGTGCTGTTCCAGCACCCCCTGGTAGTAGAGTGAATGTTAAGGAAACCCAAGGAAAGCTTTCTAGCTACCTTAGAACCATTTAAAGTATACTAACACCAGCTTTTAAATTTGGAAATATATACTTGTACCAACTAGGGTTTTCTGTTAAGGGCATTGCTTTAAAAAAAAAGGGGGGGGGGAGTAAGGCAAAAGAACAGGGTGTTTGCAGGGTTGCGTGCACAATAGAAAGTAAAATTAGCACAGTCCTTGTAAGCCTCAAGCAATGATCTCAAACCCTGACACTGCCACTTAATAATCACACAAGTATGAAGTCCTTCATGTTGACCTAATGCAGCAAACACAGCTTCACCCCATGGCTTCAACTCCTCCCAAAACTTTTTTTTCCAGTTCCTTTGGGTAACTGCTTTGTTGCTGAAAAAGTCTAAATACAGACTTTTTAGCGGCTGTTGGTTACTGACGCTGAGTTCTCATCCTTGGCAACAGAAAACTAAGTGTTAAGTCAGTCTTCCACATTTACTGAATTTAAAAAGGCACGGGAGCCAGGTGTGGTGAGTTTTTAATCCCACCACTTGGGAGGCAGAGGCAGGCTAATCTCTGTGAGTTCAAGGCCAGAATGGTCTACAGAGTTCCAGGGCTACAGAGACTCTGTCTCTAGGAAAAAAGGCATGGAAAGCAGATTAACATATGAACAGAAAGCTTCTTTTATAAACAAGGAACATGAAACTGAACCAAGTATCATGAAAAGGCTTCAGTCCAGGCCTCTCTTCCTTTTCCATTCCCTTCCCAGCTGTAGGTTCTTGCGCATGCTCCAATGTGCCTGGGAAGGTGTGAGCTAAGCGGTTACATGGCTGGAGCTTGGGGGCCTCTGGCACCACCATGCATCACAGTAGTGCCTGCTGCCCCGAGAGTGGCTCTGAAGCACATGGTCAATGCTCAGTCACCATTCCCTCCATTCTGAAGATGGCAGGGAGATCACAGGAACGCAGGGCTTGAGTCTCTCCTGCAATCGCACTTAGGAAGAATTAATGAAATGGCACCGGCTCACCTCGGCCTCTTTCCAGCACCTCCAAACTACTCTGGCTTCAAACCCATGCTATCTACTTCCCCAAGGAAATAATCAGGCCTGAGTTCCAGTCCACTGGGAAAATTCATATTGAATTCAACTTCAAAATTCTGATTATTACTTATCTCTTTGGGGGAAAGCTGCAGGGATGGGAATGGAACCCAAGGCCTTGCACGTTCTAGGTGAGCTCGTTACCAGAGCTCGATCCCCAGCTCAAATACCCAACTTTTTACATCAATAAATCCTACATCTCTCCTCCATCCATGATCTTCTGTTCCCACCTCAGCAAGTTCAGGGATTGCAAAGTTACTTTTCCAAGAACAAAACAAGTGCACCCAAGGCTCATGGTGCTCTAACACACTCTAAGTGTTCCCAATATAGAGAAGATGTGAGTGTGGACCCTATGCTGGTCGTGTCTCTGAGATCTGCCCGTGGTGTACAGTCTGAAGCCATTTGTTCTCTAAAACACAGGTATTCAAACGTCTGCTCCAGTTTGGTGAGGGTTTGTGGGATGCGCCAGCTCTAAGGGGGGCAGCAGCAAAGATAAGGAGGGCTTCACCCCATTTAACGTGGCCTTCTGCATTATACTACTCTATACTCAGGGAGAAGAACATTCTCCCTGCTAACACTGAAAACAGTTAGGCTGTCAGTGACCCAGTGTTGGCCCTAAGACAGGGTGACAACATATCAAGGATAAAAAAACTAGCCCTGCACACTCAGTAGCCATGATGTACCATGCTACAAACCAGGTGGCAAACTGCCAGCAAAGGGCAACCCGTATCTGCTGGGCCACACAGCTCCACACAACAAACCCGAGAAAACATATGGCTGGGTCCAACAAATTCTAGTCACGAACACTAAAGACCACATTAATTTTCAGTCACTTTCCTTTTGAAAAACCTATTTAAAACAAATACATTTCTTAATGAAGAGTCTCTGAGAGCAATTAGGGGCTGGGCTTGGCCTGCTCAACAAAACAAAGCTGGCTCTGCCCACACAGGCCTTCAGCTGTCACAGATAATCTTCCCAATTTCTGACTTCGGAGATTTATTTTTCACATTTCTCATTTAAAAAATTATGCCACACAAGCTCCATTATCCTCTTATATGAAAAATTTATTTAAAAAAAAAAAAAAAACTCTACTTAAAAAAAAATTATTAACCAAGAAGTTCATCTTAAAATACATAATTCAGAAACATGTTTGGAAAATTAGTTTTTATTCTATGCAATGAAAACAATATGCATAGACTTGGTACATAATTTCTTAGTTTTTACTTTAGGAAAAAGAAAAAGATTTGTAAATATCTTTTGTTCCTATTTAAAAAATGCTATCATGACATCAACAATCACTTATATATACACAAACATCAAATCTATACATGATTTATGCCTAGAAATCACTTCATCTAATAAGACTAGAATCTTCTTTGAAAATGCAGTTACTTCACAGCTCTGTCACACCTGTGAAAGCAGCTCTGGCCCTAGGACACAAGGGGGCACACTCACATGTAATGTGTCATCAATGTGAAAATTTCACAGAACCACAGGCAACTGTCACCAGTGTAAGTCACTCACAGTCCTTTCTACCTCTATCACACGCAGTGAGTCACCACTACACTTAGATGCAGGGACAGTCTCAACTCCCGTTCTTACGCAAAAGGCAGAGTGCGGCATGATCTTCCTCTGTCAGGGCTTGAAATACTAACAGAAATGTGCTCAACAGGCTGAAGTCCATGGGATACAAAATAAGGAGCTGACTATCAAATGTTAACCACCTTTATCCTTGCTAATTTGACAACTTAAGGTGTTGAGGCCTAGTCAGTTTCTTATGCCTAATTACGAAGACAACCCCATCTTCTCTCTTAATTCGCCGTGTTATTTCCTGATCGTTTCACACTTAGACGGATGAGATCACTTCGTCCAACTTCAGCCATTTGGTCTTCCCAAGACTTCATTTCATTATTATAACGAATTTTATCATCTTTAGCAAGCTGAAAATATGCCTGAGAAGAGTGTTAAATATTTCACTTAGAAAAGAGCAATTAATCTCTGCAATGCTTCCATGTACACAGAAATTACACCACTATTCCATGCAGCAAAGGGAAATACAGAAATAGTTTTTAAATACAATGTTAAATGAGGAAAAACTTAAGAGACAAAGTGTTTGGGAAAGTGCTTTCCAAGGTTTGGTGGGTTGTTACAGTTTCAGTACTTGGTGGGAGAGAAGTGGGAGGGGTAGATGGGACAAGCCATATTTTAAGTGCCAGTTTATTTACTGACAAACACTACTGCAAGAAAAGCCAAGCTGGCCTTAACAAGGCAGGCTCTGAGTACTACCATCACTGGTGCTGTTGGGCTGTTGCTACATGAGCCAAGCCTTGCCCTTACACACTCTCAGTCACTTCCAAGAGACGTGTAAAGCCAGAGACTGCGCTACTTACCTGCTTTTCTTCACTAGACATATTTTTCCAAGTCTGATTTATACTCTTCATTTTTTCCTATAAGACAACAGATAGTTAGGATGTACACACCTAAGAAGACAGCAAAGAACATTCCTCATTCACTCCAACAAAGAATCTGCTATCATTCACAAGCAACGTCACCTGACACTTGTTTCTACAGAGCTGTTATATTTGCAAAATGAAAAGGAGTATCTCTTTTGATTAAAGAGGCTTTCCTTCAGAAATAATCTCCACTTTGTCACCAAGTAACTTCACAGGCTACTTTCTCTTCTCTGTAGTTGTTTTATTCTGAACTTGGGCCTAGGTGTTTAGGTGTCCTCACAAGAAGAAAGCAAATGGTCCTTAATTCTACTCAGCTGATCAACAGGCCTGAGTGGCATTCTGGGAAAGAGGCCACTTTACACCCCTCACGCTTTGTTTATATAAAGTAATGGGGGACAGAACACAATTTAATTTTTCACATTCCTCCAAACTCCACTCAACAAAAAGTTTAAGGTACAAATGCATGTGGACAAAAAAAAAAAAAAAACAAAAGGGGCACACCAACACAAACTGTGGACCATGACAGGCCTGAGCGGTAGGTAAGTGGATTGACTGGCATTGGAGAAGAACCTACTACAGTGAGAACCTGAAAGCATTAAGATTTACAAGGCAAAACACAGGTTCCCAGGGGCAACATCAGGTGGGTGACACAGATGGAAAAATGAAAAAAAGCTTAAATGTCCACCATAGCAGATTCCAGGGAGTAAAACAGTCACAGTGAAGAGCAGACACACTTGACGGTAATGGCACTTTGCAAAAAGGCAAGAAAAATACGTGAAAACAGACAGTATTTTAAAAACAGGGATGGGGGATAAAGGAAGGTAGTTCAAACACAGAGGGAGAGGACAGATTCAAAGGTCCATACACAAATATAAATTACATAAAGCCTGAACAGAAAGCAACAAGCAAAGAAACCCAAACTGGTTTATCTAACAATGTCTAAAATTCCATGTAACTTTGTGTCTGTGCATCTATGTACACACACAAACACACACACACACAAACACACACACACACTCTCACACACATATGAAGGTCAGAAGACAACTTGCAAGAGCCAGTTCTCTCCTTCCATCATGCAGGTCTGAGGAATCAAACTCAGCTCAGGCTTAGCTACATATCCCTTTACCATCTGAGCCATCCCACCATCCCAGATTTCATTTTGTAAATCTGTGCACAGTTCTGGGGACAGCCTTGGATGGCCTCACATGCATGATCCTCCTTAACTACTATGATCGGCCTTAACTACCCAAGTGCTGGCTGTATTTCTCAAAAATCATAGTGGCCAGAAAAGCAGTGGTAATTTTAAAATGAAGAAGCTGCATTATTTTCAATCCAGAGCTCTATGCCTAATCTAAAAATACAGGGGAAAAAAGCAGTTTTTAGACATGTAAAACCTGAAGTACTAATTGCCCACATATTCTTAAGGAAAAGCTAGAATGAAAATAAACGCAAAGGCACATGGACACTGATGCAGGAGAAGCTTGGCATGCTGGGATACGCTGGACAGATGACAGCTGCCAATCTGGAATAAATCACATGCTTTCAAACTGAACTAGCATCACATAACATATGTAGTGTGTGATCGCTGACAAACTGGGATTAAAAAAAGATTATAAATGAAACTAGGTAATTTGAATAATTTTTCTTTTGTAAATATACCAGGGATTCAACTACTGACAACACCTCATGCAGGCACATGTATATCTGTACATGTATGTACATGTGTGCACGTGCACGTACATGTGCACGCACACATGTATGCGTGTGCCTGTGTGCATGAGCATCAGAAGGCTGCGGTGTTTGCAGTTCTCACGTGGCTCAGGCTGGTCTGGAATTCTCTATGACCTAAGCTGGCCTCGAAAATGTAATCCTCTTGCCCTGGTCGCTCAAGGACAAGGATCCACAAACATGAGACACCCACCCAACTTAGCCAGTATAAAACGATAATCAAGTTACATTTCTATTATTAAGGCCAGGACCCAGTCACTCAAGCTGCTGGGGAATTCTAGGACCACCTGCATGTACTGACAGTTTCAACACTACTGTATTGAAGTTCTCACCAGCACAGAGCTTCCCATAGTTTTTAAGACAAAAATATAAACCTACCTAAACCAGAGTAAATCAGTGACTGAGGAAATTCTAATGATCACGAAGTAAGCCTTCATTTCTGTAACACTGAGTCATAAAAATTAAAATCCCGACAAGATCTTCCGGCATGGCCACGGCTGTTAACATAGCACCAACCCTTTGTACTCTTGCTACTACAGCTTGTGCACAAGTGTTCACAAGTGTACAGGATCAAGAATTCACACTGTGTTGGAGTGGGATAGATATTTCTTTCCTAGGATTTGAGGACTAGCAGTATGATTCTAGAAGATGCCAGAGTTTAAAAGGAGGAAGAAAGGAAGGAAGATTACTAAATTCGATCCACTTTTGCTAAGTGGAAATAAAGGAACAATGTTGGGTCCTAAAAAACAGCCTGAAAAATAAGTTTCCTTGACTTATCCTAGACTCTAACTTAAAAACAAAACAAAACAAAACAAAAAAAACACCTTTTAAAGGTTAGGAGTTGATAGATAAAGCTGTTTCCATTAAAGGAAAATACTTTGAAGATGAGAACCCATTTATCTAAGATAATTATCTGGGAAAAAAGTTTGATTTTATTGATCACTAAAAAATATATTTTTGGTAAACTGAATAAAAGTTTAAAATCTCAAAGAAAAGTGATTAGGTAAGCAGTACAGCCTGAGAAGAGCCATGTTATACACATATGGCAACAGGACTTGTGAATGAATGTTGGACCCAGTAACTCCAGCAGTGTGCCTGGAGAGCTCAGCGCCCAGTGAGGGATCTGAACCCCTGCACCTCTTAACCACAGCACTTTATACAAGGAAAATACAGCTATCACTGTTGCTCTTGAGGAGAGTTGGACAGACCTTGTGTCCACCACATTCTTGTGACCATGTCCACACGCACAGTCCCATGGCACAGGTCTACCAGTCCTGGTTAAAGGATAAGGCATGATAAAGAGACAAGTCACACCCAACCCAGAAAAAACGAGAGCCTTAATCTCATTCTTTCCAGAGATGCTGAGACTTAGGAGCTGCTAGAGTCAAAAGTATCCAGAAGATTCTTAACTAACATCTCAACGTAAAAACCTATCTCGCTTACATGTAAAGAGCTTATATTACAGAGTTGTGTGTCTGTGTGAACCATGGAAACAGAAGAGTGACTTAATTAGAAATATTTTGAAAGTTGTCCCAGCTCATACCCACAAAACACGTACAGCAACATATGGTAGCCACACACCCCACTGCATGGGATAAAACAGCTTTTGTCTTTTCCAGGGCTGGAATCACTGGCAATCCAAGGTGTTCTGCAGACCCAGCTGGTTCTGCCAGTGATCTATATACTCAGCTACAAGGATTTTTATCTAGAGACACACACAATAATCTTATGCTCACACACAATCCACTTCCGTATTTTCTATTTTCCTTCGTCATGTTGACATGAGGCACCCCTACAACTTCCTACATGACTTTAGACTGAAGTACACACAAACCCAAAGAACAACCTGCAGTTCGGCTTACCTGAACTGAGTCATCTTTAGCCTCTGAAAAGCTTTCAGCTACATAAATGTTGTATGCTGATCGAGGTCTTTTTGGTTTTCCAAGCATAGTTAATTCCTGAATTAAAAAAAAAAAAAAAAAAACTAAAGTGTCGGATACAGTGAGCAGAAAGCCTAATGTTACCTAAAGAAACAGTGCATGACAGAATCCCTGTGAACACTAAAATTTTGTTTTGTTTTCTTGGGATAGGGACTTGCTGGCTGCTACCTTACAGCCATCCTTTTTCCTCTGCTTCCCAGTGCTGACACATAGCCTGTACCACTACACCCAGTCAATAGTGTGATTTGTAGATAAGGTATGTTATGTTTGTTATATCCTGGAAGTCAGAAACTTTTTCAAGCATAAAATATTTTAAAAGTATAATACAATGAGGCATTTCTCCAAAGTTTTTTCCTTTTTTATATTTTTATAGCTTTATATTTTTATAATATTTAATACTGTATTATTATATTTTTATAGCTTCCATGAACTCAATCAGCATTTACATATAAGACTTCTTAAAACATTCTCTTAATCCCAGTTTCATCCTTGCAGGACATCAATCATCATTATACTGGCCCAGTCAACACATGCCTCCACTTAACCAGAGAAACACAGCACTATTTAATAGTAACCTTATCTCATTCCTTCCTTGCACAGCTCACAACATTTAAAATTCAAAAGATATATTCAATTCTTACCCGGTGCCAAGAAGGAAACTAAAGAATAGGCACACAGTATCTTTGCAATTGGTTCCACATTCACTATGATAGATATTATACTTTCCTATATATTTTCTATATTTGGAGAGTAGCAGTATCTGAATTCATAAAGTCCTGGGGCAGGTGAGATGGCACAGCAGATAAAGGTGTGTACTGCACAACCCCAGTAGAGGTGAAAGGACATAATTAACCCCAAAAAGTTGTCATCTGACCTCCACACTGGTACCCTTCTCCCTATAACGTACATACACACATATATGAATAAAATTTTTAAAATGGGGGGATCTGAAGGTGTTAGGAGATCAAGGGTATTAACTAAGGTCTTATCTACATGGGTTTGATTATAAGGAACATTCCTTTGATAAAGAAAAATATAGCCTGATTTTGAAACAGTAGCCTTGATGTGAAAGTAAAGCTAGAAACAAAAAAATTAACCAGCAGATGTTTTAATAGTTATTTATTTGAAAGAAAATAGAATTCTCCTTCAAGGAAACTTCTTACTTGAATAACTGGCATTTTCCTCTGATATGCTAATAAAGGAATTTAGTAGGTTCAGCAACCTTCATGCTCATGTTCCTTTACAGGCAATTCAAATGGGAGTTACTCTAGAAGGCAGGCTCAGAGTAAAGACTCTTGCTGTTCATTCTTCTCTTGTTCAGGCCAGTCCTACTAACAAGTTGCAACCAGGCCTTCCCAGATGGACTGCATAAGGTATGATGTCCCTGCTTTGGCCTGTGGTGTCCAGCACCCGTGCTGCCTCAAATCTGCTGTCACTGACACAAGGGAAAACTACCCTAGATTCTTGGTGATGCTGAGCGTTTTTCACAGCAAACAGTATCAGTGATACTCACTTTCTTCCTTAGTATCGCTTTCTTTCTCAAACGTTTTTGCTTGAGTTCTTTCTCCAACAGCTTCAACTGACTTGGTGATAGCTGTTCTTTAAACCTGGTCATAGCTTCTTTGTACTTTTCCCACTCTGCCTTAAAATCTGTTTCATATACCTGTAAATTAAAATCCCAAATAAAAATCAATGAACTGGTGCTGGCAAGCACAACACATCACATTTGCTAGGGAAAAGACAACTGCATTCAGGTAAGACAGTTGAACAGCCAGGTGAAAATGCACATGCTTGCTAACTGAGGTGCAAGGGCAGCAACTGGCCATCCTTCCTGACTATTGTCAACCACTCACCTGCAAGCTGCTCAATCCTATCAACATCACTCGTGAAACAAAGGTATAGAATACATGGACATGACTGCTGACGGGGAAAAACAGGACTAAGAAGATGGCTCAATTGGTAAAGTGCTTGCCACAAACAGTGTCTATAACTCCTCATGATAGAGAGCCTGGGAGGGCGGGGGGTGGGGGAGAGAGACCATGTCCAAAAGGAAAAGATGTAAGCTACTTAGTCAATGAAAAAATATCCATCCCCAGCTACAGAACTGGTCAGCAAAACTGAAGACATAAGTGCTTACCTTTCTTTCTTCTTCTGGTAGGTCCCTCCACACAGCTGCAATTTTTCTAACTAAGTCTATAAGTCTTGCATCTAGAAATTAGAACAGAATAAAAACGATGTCTCAAGTTTATTTCTTCCGGGCTAACTTCTATAAGCTTTTGTAAATAGCCTAGTGGCTCTAAAACCAAGCTAATTAACATATGTCTCTACACCCTATGAATACAATTTTATCAAGAAAAGCTAAAAATAAAAATAAAAATTTAAAACCTGTTATTTAAGCTTTAAGGAAAGTATGTTACAGACTACCAAAAACAGTAAACCCACTGCTAGTTTAAGCACTTGCATAACCAAATGCTTCAAGTTTCTGATTTCTATTTTTCAATCGAAATATTCTGTCATGTCTTTCAAGAATTATCATTAATAAAACCCAAATGAACCACAAACTAGTCTTGCTCATACAACAATATCTTGCATTTGAATTATAGAAACACCAGATATAAAACTGCTATAAAATTCATCTGTTATAAATTAATCCATTTCCTCTGTTGTCTTAACAGAGGATACAATTGCTTTATCAACCACGTGTTAATTCCAAGTCTTACATATTAGAAGACAGGGTATGGCTACAAACACATCTCATTCTCTCATCTAAAATAGAAGTACCTTAATATAATTTCACAAGTGGGGAGGTACTGTAGGTAAAAGGGCTGTGAAAATCATAAGCAAAGACTAATTTACTAATTCAATGATTGTCATTATATACAAATAAAGGTCCTACAACCCTTTCTCAGGCTACCTGGAAATCTTTCCTACTTGCAATTTTTTTTTTTCAGGAACTCAGATAATTTCCAGTTAAGTGAGCCGTGATTTATAGACCATTATTATATTTTATAGAACACTTCCCAGTAAGTTATTTTACTGCTCCTTCACAAACAATGTCCTATTTCAGAATAGGCCTCAACTTCTCTAGAGTGTTCTGCACTCTATACGCTGTTTTAAAAATACTGTTCTTACTTATATTTAATGAACTTCTATTAGCTATAAAATATTATACAGAATACTAAAGAAAAATGACTGTTGCTTGATGCTCAGGCAATGCAAATCAAGATTGCATTAACAAAAAAAAAAAAAAAAAAAAACAACAAAACAACAACAACAATAGAGAAGAGCATAAGCCCCAAATTCCTTACCTGGGTATTGAGCTTTAAATCTGGGTAGCTGTTCCGTAGAAAACCGAAGGTATGAACTCATAGGTTTCTTTGGATAATTACTGAAGTTGGATGAAAAGCATTTAGATATACAAACAAGGCTACACAGAGATAAAAAGAACCAAACGTCAGATTTGTAACATTCATACACAGACCTCAGATTCTAAACAGAACATCAGCCAAGAACATTAGCCTTCACCTAAAATACTCCCAGCACTTGGGAGGCAGAGGCAGATGGATCTCTATGAATTTGAAGTTAGCCTGGTTAACGAAATGAGTTCCGAACAGCCAGGGCTACACAGAGAAACAAGTAAATAAAATACTAATAACTTTTGAATGATTCCCTTTACCCCTGCTGTGTTAAGAATTAAATGCAAGGGCTCTATTTGTATAAGCATGCTGGAAAGTGCTCCAAAACCGACGACTACGTTCCATAACCAAAGAAATAAAAGACTGCAGGGCTGAAGCCTGCAAACAGGGCACCTTGGGTGACCGAGCCAAGGGGAAGAAGGGACTGCAGGGCTGAAGCTTAAGTCTTGGCACCCTAGGTGACCTAGCCAAACAGAAGAGGGGGCTGCAGAGCTGAAGCCTGCGAACAGGGCACCCTGGGTGACCTAGCCAAACGGAAGAAGCGCCTACGGGGCTGAAGCACAAGCCCTGGCTGCCTGGGCACAGTAGGGGCGAACGTTTCGCGCCACAGCGTCGGAACCAGTCTCCAAGGTTCAAGGAGGAAGGAGGGAGCCCCTCGGCGCCGAGCGGTAGACGGCGACCGGAAGTGGCGTCGGGTGCTAAAGGCGCGAGGACCCTGGCGGCCCGGACACTCGGGGGGCACGAGAGCACATGAGTGACGGACGTGCAGCGCCCCCGGCCCGCGCGGCCTACCTGACAGGCGAGCGCAAGTTGATCCCGCAGCCCGTGCACATCTCGGCTCCCGAGCGCCCGAGCGCCCTTAGGGCGCCCCACATTCCCCGGAGCAGCGCCATCGGTCGGGCCGACCAGGCAATGGACCGGCGCCGCCCGTGAAGAGCCGTCGTCACACGCACCACGAGGCACTCCCCGCGTGGGAACTCCCGAGGTTTGTTATCATGCCCGCCACGCGCGGAGCACTGTGGGAAACCGGAACTTCCGGTCTGCGGCAGGAGGCGGGGCGGGCGGGAGGCGGTGTGCGTCCCCCCTCTTCGGGGGGCGGGGTTGGAGCCTACGGCGAGGCGAGGGTGGCTGTGTTGGAGCGGATGTTGCCGGGGCGGCGGCCGCGGGCCTGGCCGATGTGTGCCGGCCGGCGGCCTGTCTGCCGCTGTAGGATTGCGGACTCGCCTGCCAGCTCAACTTCCTGACGCCGGGGCCGCGGCTTGAGTCACAGAGCCTGGCCCCTGAGGTCAGAGGTCAGTGATAACTGCGGATGCCCGAGCCTCAAACTGCGTGAGAATCCCACCGTGTTTCCTCTGAGGCCACAGGAAAGCACAGCGGGCTACTGAGTGGGAGGAGTGGCGGTGAAGCTTACTGCTTTACATGCCATCTTTTCTTTCAAAGCTGATAGAAAGGGATGGGAATCCTAGGGTGACCCAGAGAGTAAAAGCGCTTGACCCCAAGCCTGGCCCGCTGGGTTCAATCCGCAGGACCTACATGATTGAGAACACCCATTCATGCAAGTTGTCCTCCGATCTTGACTCGCGCGCACACACACACACACACACACACACACACACACACAGACGTACACAGACGTACACACAAAAGTAAATGTGCCATAAAAAAGTAAAGTGAACCCAGCTTGGTGGTGCAGGCCTGTAATCCGAGCACTTGGGAGGTGGAAGCGAGTGTTCAAACTCATTCCCTCAGAGCAATTCAAGACTAGCGGGGGCGGGGGGGGGGGGCATGATACATGAGAGCCTGCCTTCAAAAACAAACAAAGACCAACCAACTAGCCCTTACAATAATAACAAAGCAAAAATATTCTTAACTGAGGAGGGAATGTCAAAGGCCCTAATACTCAGTTTCCCACTTTGCAAATGGTGTGGACTGGATGAGTTTGCCCAGCCACAGCCCTGAGATTGTGTGACAAGGACATCTTGAGATGGATTGATGTAGTATACAATTTGTGCCCTACAAATACTAGGGGTTTGTTTTTTGGGTTTTTTTGTTTGTTTGTTTTGTTTTTGGTTTGGTTTTTATGCAATAGCATGGAAAAGATTAAGAAGATCTAAAGATGTCTTTTTTAAGAGGTATTTATTATGTATACAGTATTCAGCCTTCATGCATGCCTGCTCACCAGAAGAGGGCACCAGATCTCATCTTAGATGGTTGTGAGCCACCATGTGGCTGCTGGGAAATGAACTCAGGACCTTTGGAAGAGCAGTATTGCTCTGAAGCTCTGAGCCCTCTCTCCAGCCCTGATCTAAAGCTATCTTAAGGGCTTCAAGCTGTTATAAATGTTACGTAAGGGCTGGGAGTGTAGCTCAGTTGGAGTGCCTGCATGATACACAAAGCCCTTGGCTTAGACCCTCGGCTTCCCATAAACCAGGCTTGGCATCATAAGCCTTTAGTCCCAGGATTTGGGAGGTTGAGGCAGGTCGATCAGAAGTTCAAGATTATCTTTGGCTACCAAGTAAGTTTCAGGTCAGCTGGGCTACAGATCTTGTCTCAAAGTAAGTTAAATTAATATTTTTTTTTCTTCTTGTGTAGCCCTGGCTATCCTGGAACTCACTCTGTGGACCAGGCTGTGCTGGAACTCACAAAGATCTGCCTGCCTCTGCCTTCCAAGTGCTGGGACTGAAGGCGTGCACCACCATCACCCAGCTTAAATAAATAATTTAAAATAATTATCTCCTGGGTTTGGTGGTGGGTGCCTTTACTCCCAGCACTTGGGAGGCAAGAGGCAGGTGGCTCTCTGTGAACCGGAGCCTGGTCTGTATAGGAAGCTCCAGGCCAGACAGTGTTCACAGGTGAGATCCAGCCTCACAACAACCATCTCTTCTGTTGCATACTTTGTAATTGAGAATGGCAACATCTTATTGATGTAACCCTGAGCTGAGAGTCTGCTGCCTTTCTGTAGCTTGGGAACATTGGCCCCTTCAAGCTGCAGAGGACCAAGCCCGCTCCTTCTAAGCCCATCTTAACATCACTTCTGTTTTCATACTCTGTTGGGGGTAAATGGGGCTTCCAGCTTGTCCTTTCAAACCCCCTGTCACAGCAGCAACACTTGGAGTATATCCAAACAGGTATAAAAGCACATTTTCCCATACAGTCCAGGGGCTGAAGCAATAAGAAATTATAGCACCTTGCTAAAATGGAGGCCTGCGCAGGACATAATTCCTCCTAATACAATTTCGAGTGATTTCTACAAAAATTTGCTATTATGAGACAGGTAGATTATATCCTTGTTTTCATAACATATCAGCCATTACATTGTAGTGGTTTTATTTTAGGTGCATATTTTCAAAGGAAACATTACTTAAGTTGCCTTTGAACAAAAAGACTTCTGATTTTCATTTACATTTACTTAAAAAAAAAAAAAAAGCTTAGCACAGCCTTTCCCTGGATTTTGCCTTCCATGCCCATAATTCTACTGTCTGTCATAGCCTCATGGTTTGTATATAATATGTCATCGAGATCTCTCCTTTGAGCTTCATGTCTGCAGACGCCCTGAGTGCCATTGCCTCATGGTTCCTGTGTTCTATACTGATCACAGATCTTTTGGACTCATTGCCCTAGGACATCCCTACCATGTCTCACTGACACCCAAATTTTAAAGTTCTGTGAACAAAAGTAATGATCTTTACACTCCATTGGCATTTCCCACTTCACTCAGCCAAGTCAATAACTTCTTAAATACACTGCTGATGAGGATAGATGGAACTAATCCTCACTGGTGCTGCGGCCGGAAACATGCTGGAAAATCATTTATCTTCAAAAGAGAAAAGATGCACTTACAGTCAAGAAATAGAAAAGGAAGCCCAGAAAGTGAGCATGTGGTGCTAAGGAGATGGCTCATTAAGCACCCGCCTTGCATGCATAAGGACCTTTCTTTGGATTCCCAACACTGAGGTAAAAAGCCAGGCATGGCAACATGCTCCTGGCATCCCAGAGCTGGGGAGGTGGAAACAGATCCCTGCAACTTTCGGGCCAGCCAGTCCAGCCAAAGTACTGAGCTCCAAGCTCACTGAGAGATACTGTCTCAAAAAATAAATAAATAAATAAAGTGGACATTAAGGAAAACAGCCAACATTGTCTTCTGGCCTCTGTGCACACAAGCACCCGTGTGTGTATATCCACATGATGTGCACATAGTTCTGGATGTGTGGGAGGGACTCTCTAGTAAGGCAAAAAGCCTTACAGTGAGTGGCACCTTCCAACAATCAGCCCAGACAGAAGGAGATCTCAGGGAAAAAGTGTTGCCTGCCGGCTTTCACCTTTTCCTAAGCAAGTAGACCACCGAGGCTGTCACTGCCCCTTCTGACATCAGGACACAGCTTCTTGGTTTTCCAGTGTGGGCTGATGACCAGCAGTCCTCCAGGAATCAACCAGGCCTTCGGTGCCAGATTGGGACTGTGAGACATCCAGCCTCCTGGACCGAGAAGCTACCAACTGCTGTCATGCAGATGGCCGTTGCTGAACTACTTATCCCTGTGGTGTAAGCCAACTTAACAAATCCCCTCTTTGAAATATGCGTGAGTATGTCAGGTGGATAGGCAGATATATGGCCAGGGTGGACCCTGGCCAGTTGATGGTTTAGATAGATGGAAGATAGATGGATGGAAAAAATGAAAATCTCAACCGTTATATTTTACCAATAAAGACTGTAGCTCGGAGAGGCAGAGACAGCACAGCTGACTTTCCTCTTTAGCTTGGGTCCAGATAGAAAAAAAATCCCAAAAGGCTCACTTGCTCAACTGACAGCCTAGGAGGAAAAGACAAAAAAAAATAAAAATAAAAATAAATAAAGAAAAAATAAAAATCCAAGGCCAAAGGCTTCCTAGCTCAAAACCCAAAAAGCCTGGAAGCAGAAGAGCTGAAGCTAAAGCCAGAGCTTAAGCTAAAAGCTCTTCTTCTCCATGCTGTCTTAAATACCCCTCAACTCAAAGTCAGCTGTTTTCTTGCTCCACCTCTTGACCTAGGGTTAACTTTCTTAAATCCTATGTACAGAAAGCTCTTGAATTAAAAGTGTGTGCTAGGGCTGGGTGAACCATACCATAATCACCTGTTTATAATAAAAAGTTCTTGGATTAAAGCTGTGTGATAGTGCTCAACCACACAAAGCAAGAGACAGGGTTTTACAGTTCACAATTTTGGAGTTCACAGTGGGATCAAATATCCTGCAACATATGGAAGGATGTTTAGATTTAACAAAATCCCAATCTTTACATTTTACTAATAAAGACTTGGGAGCCAGATGCTGGAGTAAAAGCCTGCTAGCTAAGAGAGGCATAGAAAGTACCCAGCTGACCTTCCTCCTCAGACGTCCCAAAAAGCAAAAACCTCCTTCCCCACACTGTCTCAAAATACCCTCAAACTGAATGTCCCTCCCTTCTACTTCCTGTACATCCCTCTCTCTCCATCTTCCAGTCTTCCTCTTACTCTTTATGGTTTTTTTCCTATGTTTACTTCCTGTCAGTTGGTTGTTTGCTCTGACTCTTGACCTGTGGTTGATTTTATTTAATCCTGTCTTGAATTAAAGGTGTGTGCTAAGGCTGAGCCACACCATAACTAGAAAGCGGATTTTCCAGTAAACAACACAGACTCAGGTTTCACAGTGTGATCAAATATCTTGCAACATGGATGGATGGATGGATGGATGGATGGATGGATGGATGGATGGATGGATGGATGAATTAGCATCTGTCCAATTGTTTAAAATAAAATTTTGGCCCATTGGGAGACATGTTTCTGTTAGAAGAGACATTTTAGTAGATGTCATGGGCTGTGTCAGCGCACCATGAATCTGTTCCAGGAGCCAGGGTTGCACACACACCCACCCGTCTTTTCAGACCCACACATTTTGTCTCAAAATGTCCTTCAGAGTCCTGAAGGACTCTGGGGGTGGTTTACACCCTCCCTCAACTCTGAGACAGAGAGGAGAATAAAGCAAACATGTCCCTG